AAATAAAATTTCATAATAGTTATGGATAAAGAAAGACTAAAACAAAAATATTTTTAAGAAACTGAAGTTTTGATTTAAACTTTTATAGCATGTTCTCTTTTAGGCCAGCAGATGTAGCTGTGAATTAAAATAGGAAATATAGTTACTTTTGTCAAGCTGCTCGAGGCCAGCCAATAGATGGCACCCTTTTGGGGGGAAATTGGGTTAATAGCAGAGATTCAATACAATATAGGGTAGCTATTGACAATTATTTGACATTGGAGTATTGGAGTAGATTTTGATACCTGCATTTATCTAGAAATAAGCATCTCACCTATTTATTAGCTGCATAGACTTGAACTAGTTCTGTTCATCATTTTCTAAGATTGTTACACTTGGTCACAGAAAACTGACATTTCCCCCAAAATGTAGTATTTAGTGATACAAGTTCACATCAAAATTGTAAATGCAGGAGCTTTCTAAATGCAGAGTTGAAACATCATATACAGCTCTCTGTAAGCCTCAGAACAGTGTCATTATGAGTCTGCTACGAAAATAAACCAAAAAAGCTTTGGGCCGGGCATTTAGCTCAGTGGTGCCCCGCCTGCCTGGCAAGCACAACACAAGATCCTGAGTTCTATCCCCGGTACTGAAACAAAACAAAACAAAACAAGAATTTGCTAGGAAAGGGAGCAGGTAAGGACTCAGATAAGAGCCTACTGGGGAGCCCTGCCTTAGCACCAGTGCCAGGATCAGGGTAGGCCGACTCCTCAATGAACAAACCATAAGTTAATAAACATTACTGCCTTTAAAAACTGTGTCCATGTTCTGCAGTCATCTGAACAAAATTATAGACATTCAGCACATTCCATTAAAAAAAAAAAAAAAAAAAACAAAGAAAAGAATAATATCCAGACAACAGCCAAGTTCTGTTGCTGCTGTGGTACCTGGCACCATTTTTTCTATTAGCCTCTTAATCATCATCTGGAAAGAGAACATTCTAGAGTAATATCATTAAATGTAGCTCTGATAAAGCACGGTCCCTACTATGTATCATAAAGCAGGTACTAGATATTTTACATTCATAGAGGTATGATACAGTACCATCCTACATCGATAATACTAGATTCAGTTTTGGTTTGAAATTTACTTTGTCTGCAAATATATATATATATATATATATACACACACACACACACATATATAAATTGAATTTTGGGAAACTTTAACGGTGCTGCCAACTTTGGAAAAAGTCATCCCAATTTGCTGTGTTGACTTGGCATTGTACAGAAATGGACAACCATATTGGTCTAGAAATGTTAATTTATTTTATTTTTTTTTTCCATGTGTACAGGGGTAACACATCATACTAAATATGTAAGGTCATATCTAAGTGGGTTTGATTACACAAACTAATAAAGTATTCTCTAAATAATGAAAAAAGAATAAGATAAGACTATAAGAGGGAGAAGCAATTTAAATATGTTCAGGGACCATTTTCATCTCCAGAATTAAGGATTATTTTGATGTTACATCATTGCCTTTTCTCTTTTACTTTCCTTTTTAGTTTTATTTTAGGATTCCCTATTTTTAATGTTCATACAGAGATTTATTTAACTGAAATACTAAATAGATTCTTTGGTGTGAAAAACTATAATAGTACACAGGATCCTAATGAGATAATTAATAATGTGAAATAGGAAGTAAAGGGCTAAAGGTGTAGGGAAAGTGGTAAGGGTGGGGGAAAGGTAATAAGGGAGAGGAAAAAAATATGAGAAACTGAAAAAATGGAAATAAAAGTGTTTGTAAATGGGGAGGGGAAGAGGGGGTGAAGGGATGGCAGGGACAACGGGAAAAATGAGAATTAAGACCTATTATGTAAAGGTACAGAATCCCAATGATGAATGTAACTGTATTTGTATACCTAGATTGTACCAATATCCTCAATAAAAAAGAAAAAAAAAATCTGTGTCCATGGAAAGACATCAAGTGGGCTCATCTTCGGTGAGACTTCTCATAGTGCAGATCAAACTGATATGCCTAATAACCTATGAATGAGGACAGCTGTGTTCTCTTATTAGACACGAAGATGTAATATAAAAGGATTCCACAGATTTTTATATTCAGTAGTCCCAATTATAAAATATTTTTTCTTCCCAAAATATTATAGGTAATAATCCTCTTATTAGTGTCATAAAACAAAGAAGTTCATGTTCTAGAAACTAAAATAGCAGTCTAGCCTACAAAGCTAAATTCTCAAGTGTACAATAACCTAATTTTGTTGGTCTATGAACATTTAGATTGACTCATTTTTATGACACTTATAAATAAAAAACTATTCACATTTTCATACCTTAAATTTTTACTCATTTTATGACCCACAGTACTAAATACCTGAAACACTGGAAACATCACCTGCCAATTATATACAGTCGATGTAAAGTGCTAACAGGCTATTGTTTTCAGAGAAATGAGCAACTTAATAACTTCATTACTAAGTGTTTGCATGCCCCCCAAGTTGATTTTAAATGTAGTCAGAGAAATGCCATGAACTCCTAGGTAGCTGTGTTTTATTTTCAGTACAAATAAAAACAAAATCTTGTACAATTTTTTAAAAAGTAGTATTACTGTTAAAGTGATAATTTTAAGAAATAAGGGAAGTAAAATAATTCATCCATAATTCATTCAGATATTTCTATCAGATACCTCTCCTCCCAGTTTTTCACTTATTTTCAGATACCTGCTCTATTATGTGTACATATAGGTATGAATTTTTGTCTTCCATGTACCACTATAAACTAAACATCTTTCTATTGTGGATAGCATAAAAGAAGGTCTTCCTTTTTATGAGAAAACAATGGCCAGTCTTATACCAGACTGACATCAACACCATGCTGAGACATGAGGCCTTCATTGGAGATATTCCAAAAAATTTAAATTATCAAGAAATGTGTGGATTATGTCAAAATCAAATTACTCCCTGGATCCTAAACCCTTCCACCTAGACTTTTATGTCTTTCTCAGCTATTGGTGGTAAAACTGAAAAAAATACTAGCTCCTAAAGATTCATACCTGGGTTCAAATCTTGACTTTGCCAGTTACAAATTACATGATCTTACACAAGTGAATTATCTCTCTGTGTTCCAAAGTTCCAACTGCCTCACTTATAAAATGGGAGTTATTACTATCTGCTATATTGTTACTATGAAAAGCAAATATTCTATGTCTAAAGTGTCTGGTACAGTGCAAGAAAAGCAAGATAAAACTGAGGTAATAGCAACAGTCATAAAAAGTCTTCCAATCAATTAGGTTTCCTAATTATTCTAGCTAATTCCTAGTTCATTGTTACTGACTACCTAGCAAAGTTACTTTAAAACTAAAGGTTGGTCAGACCAGAGAAGAAACACTATACTTTGTATAGCAGTGTATTTTGAGTGAAAAGTACAATAATGCCCATGTTTAGTTATGACTAAATGTAGAAAGCTCAATAATGTTTATAAGATTGCTCCAGTAATCCCTCCCTTGCCTCAGTTTCTCTCTCTCTACTGAATCACTTCCATCATCACATACACGCCATTGTCATATACGTGCTGACTGAAAACAAAAAATAACTCTAGACCCTTTCCCCCTTTCTGGATATGACCCCATTTCTTTCTTTTCTTTTACAGCAAAACTTAAGATTTTTCTGTACACACTGCCTCCAATCTTTCTCCTTTATTCTCTTTTGAATCCATTCCACTCAAATACCCCACCACCATCTCACCAATGACCACCACAGTGCTGCACTCAGGGAATATTCAATGCTTATGGTGTGTAACTTCTCACCAGGATGCAACACAGTCAATTGTTTTTCCTTGAAATGTTTTCTATTCCTGTCATCTAGTCTCCGTTTTGACTCCCCTTTCTCATTGGTAGAGAAATCTTTGCTACTTTTCCCTCATACTCCAATCTTTAAACCTGAGGAGTACTCAAGGGCTCCTTCCTCAGACTTCTTTTTTATCCTCGCTGCTTTGGTAAATTCAACTGATCTCATGACTTTAAACACTATCCATATACTGATGAAATTTGTAACTCTACCCTGAACCTCTCCCTGAATCGCAAACTCCTGTATCTAACTGCTTGACTCCCCATGTGGCTAACAGATATTTTAAACTCACAAGTCCCAGATGGAGTCCCTGATATTACTCTCAACACCTCCTCCCACACTGGTCTGTATTCATTTTCTAGTTGCTCAGACCAAACCTTGTAAACATCCTTGACTTCACTTTGTTTCCCACTACACATCCAGTACATAACCAATCCTTGGTGACTTCACCTACGAAATATATCCAGAACCTCTTTTCATCAACTTCACCACTGCTACCTATTCCAAACTATCACCTATTCTCATTTGTCACAAAGAGCCTGGTTCACAGAACTTCCTACATATTGTTTTAAAAGAAGAAGAGGGCTGAGGATTTAGCTCAGTGATTCTGCTGCAAGGTCCCAAGTTCAATTCCCGGTATCAGAAAAAAAAAAAAAAAAAGAAAAGAAAATGATTATCATTACCGTATAGCTTTTTAGTTTGGGGTATAAATTTTATATATTCACATATATATAGTAGACATAATGTATGCACATTTAGGTTCTTAGGATTTTTTCTAATAACATGTACATAACATATTAATAATTTAAATAATTAATTTTAAAATATTTAAACTATTTTACAAGGGTATTTATAAATATGGATTCAAACAGCAGAAAAGTTCTAAATAATTTTGCTGAACAAGTAGCTAACATCAATTTACAAAAAATCAATATTAGCTATAAATTAGTCATTCAGATTTGAAAAACTTGCACTGTTTATTATTTACTAGAAATGAGAAGTTTGCTTAGATACTGGTAAGAATTTAGTCACATTCTCTGTCATTACTTTTCAAGACAGAGACCAAAACATATTCAAGTTTGAAAACCATAAAAATTTAGACAACAGAGAGTAGAAGAAATAGCCAGATGCCAATTACAAGACTGCAGTTACTTACAGTGTGAACTCCTAAAGCTTTCCAGACTGCGAAGCTGATCACACCAACACCACACCAGGCATATAGTGAGCCCCAGCCCAGTGCCCGCAAGGCAAGAGAAGACCCACTCTCTGGTAAGGCAGCTGTGGCCATACTGCCCTGCAATGAAGACAGAAAGACTTGGCTAAAACAATCAGTTCTGAAAGGATAAACATGCTGGAAATGTTTGGAAAGAATTGCAGTACTCTCTGCATAAGCAACATGAAGCCCTGGGAGGCAATAGGAGCCCAAGATCAAATAGCAGCTTTGCTGCTTAATAACCTCATGACTTCTCTGACCACAGATATGAGTATGGAAGGCACTGTGCCTATTAATTTTTCCAGGAAAATCTTAGAACATTTCATCAAGATTTCTAGAAGCCTTCATTTGCACTTGCATTTCCATTAGAACGTTAATTAGCTAATCTGATAAGAAATAGCAAATCTTTAACATCCTGTCTTACACCTGGAAATTTTCATTTACTAAAGTCCTTTTCCTTTGCAGACAGTTCTCTTTGTAATGTTCAACCTATTACATAGTACAAGCTTTTCTTCTATTTTTTTTGGGGGGGGGTGGTTCTCTACCCCTGAGCAGCACTCTATTCATCTGTGTTTTTGGTTTTTAATTTTGAAACAGGGTCTTTCTAAATTGCCCAGTCTGGTCCCAAACTTGAGATCCACCTGCCTCATCCTCCTGAATAGATGGAATTACAAGTCATGTGCCATAGTGCCCAGTATGTCTGTGATTTATAACAGTGAGTAATTTCCCTAGTGCAAAGAAAGATTCTGCTTTGTGGATCTGCATCCCCATACCCAGCAGCATGACTAGACCTGGCAGGTACACAGTATCTGCTGACTGATAATTTTTCTAGATATACCCTAGACTTAACCAGATCATCAAGAGATCTTTCTTTAAGTCATTTTCTATGACATAAAATAATATACTTTCTAACTCTTTTCCTATGTTGGTTTAATTTCAGCATGATTCCCCAAATACCACACATTTCACATAAATCAGCTCACTTTTAAATGCCCTGAATTTTCATCCAGAAGCAGTGGCACTAACCAAATATTATTTTACCAGGGTCAGTTAAATGCTTTGGCTTAATTTTTATTTTAGAAACACAGATTAAAAATCTATTACTTCCCTAGAGAGGACAGACTTTACCTAGGTATATATATATTTTTACTCTCTACATAAACCCATGTTTGTTTTACTAAATCAAGTTATTAAAAAGTGACTATGTATGAAAATAACCCTTAATGACACATTACAATAAAGTTTTAATTTTATCTAACTTAGATTCTTTTTTAAAAATGTGTACATGTCACTATTTGTGCAATATCAGTCTCATAAACTGTGAGATGAAATGAAAATTAGTTATAATCAAAATTAGTCTACATGCTTTGAAAAATAAATTTTAGTGGAAAGTTGATGTTAAAAAATTGATGTTAAATTGATCCTTAAGTTTTACACTTGATCTTAGCCAAAAGACCGAGAAGCGATTGATCCTTAAGTTTTAAAAAGTCTAATCATAAGCTTTTCCTCTGGGGAAAAATGTCATTCATACCCTCTATTCAAAATTTTCAAAAGGAACATTGGTTGACTTGCTGCAGGAGAAGATTGACTTGCCAAAATAATGTTGCTTTAAAAGAGCTTTAATATAGCCACATATGCTACCATTTGAATTTATATTTTTGTATACATAAATAATGCAATCACACACACAAACACACACACACATTCTAAAAGCTACACTTCCCTCACTGCCATATTACTTTTTAAAAATTAAAATAAAAGTACATATATTTGGAAGTAGAATTTAACAAATCACACTGCAGTTATGATACTTAGGACCCAAAGATAAAAGATTATTTTATAAATGAAAGCTTTGTAGTTATAATACATCTACATCTAAGGACACTAGTACCCCTTATCTTCTAACTTTACCAGCACCTTTTGAGAAAAGATATGACAAGAAGTAATCTATTATTCACATACTGTATGCAGGAAATACAAAGTGCAAATTGTTCATTTTTAAGGTCTACTGCAAAACTTTTAAATTTCACATTTTTAGCTTTTTTCAATGTAATTCTGGGATTAATTTTACTTAAGTCAAATGGACTTTTAAACTGAATGTTCAATCTAGTCATTTCCCCTATAAAAATATTTTGCTGTTTATATCACAGAAATAATTCTTTATAACATACACAATATATTTAAAAGATTTTTTGGGCTGGGGATTTAGCTCAGTGATTCTGCTGCCTGCCTTGCCAGCTCAAGGTCCTGAGTTCAATCCCTGGTACCAAAAAAAAAAAAAAAAAAAAAAAAAAAAAAAGATTTTTTTTATAATTTCTCAGAAATTATATCAAAAAGATGAATGACAACTTGCTCTCTTTTTATCTACCATTTACATAAACGGGTCTTGAAATAACTCGGGTTTTTTGTTTTTATTTTTTCTTGGTGATAATGGGGATCGAATTCTGGACCTTGTGCTTGCGAGACAGGTGGCAGAACTGAGCTAAATCCCAGGCCCATAACTCAGTTTTTTGATGAAGTTCTGTAATGACATAGTATTAAGGTGAGGCACTGAATTAAAGCACTTTAGATAAGTTATCTTTGTTAACATGGTTAAGTATTAATTTCTCATACATTCTGTATTTTCTTCAATTGTTCTAAACAAACAGACATATATACACATAATTTTCACTCTTAACACCTCATTTAGTCTCACAATCATTTTTTGCAACTGATGTGTAAAAAATTTCAGTTTAAAAAATATTGGTCTATTTTAATCAAAGAAGCTCAGGAGTGAATTCTTTGGCCATCTTAATTCACACCTTCCTCTTTTTGCTTATTCAAATTACAAAATGTATGTTCACTGAGCCTTTACTATTACTTTTCAACTAGCAGCTGTCTAGCATAAGACTTAACTAAGATAATAAAAATAAGACACTAAGGAGATGATTATCTTCCAGAAAAGAAGGCAGGCAGCCTCCCACTGAAAAACTGGTCATTTATAAGACTTTGTGCTCCAGTTTGAATCTGTGTTGTAATGAAATACTTAAGATTCTCAGGCTAGTGGACAATTTACTTAAATAACAATATTGCTAAAAGTGGTATCATTTATTATCAAGGAAAAAACAGTCATGGAGAGTTTCACGTTAGGCAAGTCAATTAATCCACATGTGCCTCAGGTATGAATGATGTACAGTATGAGTGTTTCATATGGCTATGTAGGGGTTAAATGAATAAAACTCTTAGAAAAGTAGTTAGCACATGGTAGACAGTCAGACATCAGGTATTATAAATACTACTGTGTATGTTAGAGAAGACCTCTAAGTAATGACTTTGCAGTACACTGCCTAAGCGATATTCTTAATCTGGTGCTTGCTCAGTGTAATTCCTTAACTATGTGCTCCAGAACCTGAGTTCTTCTACAATTCAATTTACTTTTCAGAGTCTGTTTAAGATGTTCTAATTACATATTTCCCAGAGAGAGGCAGAAACTTACATAATATATTAAACTATCCAAAAGAATGGTTCTCAATTTTTCTGGTCTCAAGAGCCTTTTATACTTGGACCCCAGAGCTTTTCAATTATGTGGATTTTATATTTTATCAATATTTACTTAGAAAATAAAACTAAGAAATTCACATTTTATTTATTCATTTTAAAACAGTAAATCAATTATAGATTAATATAAATTTGTTTTTATGAAAAATAACTATTTTCAAAAAGATGTGAAAAGTTCTACATTTTTGCTGATCTTTTAAAGGTCTAATATAATAAAGGATGGCTGGATTTTCATATCTCCTGTAGTCAATCTGCTGTGCAATGTTCTTTTAAAATTGATGCATAATTGAAAGGAGGGCAGGGACAGGGGAAAAAATGAGAATCAAGACCTGTCATGTAAAGGTACAAGATTCCGATAATGAATGTAACTGTACTGTACACCTAAAATGTTCCAATAAACTAAACTGATGCATAATACTGAAATATCTTATACTATAGAGAGAAAATGATCCACAAAGTGCACAGTAGTTATTTGGGTAGCTCTAGGTAAGCCCTGAGAGTATTCAGAGGGAATCCAAATGCATTTCAAATGTAGTCTCTCAGTCATTAGGCTTAAAGCTTAAGTATGATTATTAAGGATGAGTGAAAAGGAAATTCAACTGATTTATTATTTTTCACATAATACTTTTCTTCCACGGCACACATCTATCTGTAAGACTATAGTTGTGCGAATGTTTAATATGTGTCCACCATAACAGACACTTTGGTTCCTGGGGGCAGATGTACTGTTCATTTCTTCATCCTTTGTACCTACCTACTACAATGGCTGACACAAAAAAGATTCTAAGTAAACATTTGTTGAAGCAACAAAATAATGAATAAATAAGCCAAATGGGATGGAAGGACAGAGACAGGACAAAAGATAAGAACAACTACAAGTAAACATGAAGGAAATTTCTTATTAATGAGGTAAATGAAGTACAGAATGTGAGACTAACTGTTTAATCTTTCTTACAGAATAAGAATTTTCTGCTATAAGTAGATTATAGTCAATTCTCCATAGGACCTACTATACATCAGATACATTTTTAGAGACTGGGACTACGGCAGTGCCTGATCCTTGTGTTCAAGGAGCTGACAAAGTTTTCATCGATACCAAGATGAACTCATTTCAACATTTTAACATACCTGTAATAGATGCCTCTTGCAGTTGGTATCAAGACCTTAAAAATGGCATTATTTTCTCTTGCTAATTGGTATATAAAAATTGCGGCCTCTTACTATTAATAGTGGACTACTACATTTAGATTTAATGTCATGCCATGAGTAGGAAATGAACAAGACACATTTTCCAAGTTTTGTTCTGTGAAAATTTAAGAAAGCACGTATTTCTTTTTAAAAGAAAATAAAAACCTAAAATGTACCAATAAACTCAATGAGAAAAAAAAAGAAAATAAAAAATTATCAGTTAATCTGTGCACTTTTTGAATCCACAAGATGTATACAGTTTACTTCTTAGAACTATAAGAAAAGCCATCAATACTTTCTTTCCTTATGCAAAAAGCTGCCTTTGTAAATAATAACAATCCTATGAATGGATTTCAGTGTTACAAACCTTATTGAACCATTCAGGACTTTTCCTTTTAGCCAGTGATAATGTTGTAACAAATCCAGCTAGCATCCCTGCTGCTGCAACAGAACCAAGGAAAATTCCACCTGCCAAGTTTGAGGGAGAAGGGAGAAGTTACAAAGATACACAAGTCTTAAACATCTTTTACATTACTTCAAAATTACTTTTGAAATTCGAGAAGTTATGGCTAAGCAATTCTTGCCAAAGGTCAGTGATTGAGACTTGAATCCAGCACGACCTCACAACCTCTGGCTCCTGGGGTCATTCTAAGGCATAGTTCTCACTTGAGAACTGGCACAGGTTCCCTTCCCTCTCCCCCGGACAGTCGCTTGAAGTTTCTCCCGGAGAGGAAAAGTGAGAAACTGACAATTAGAAAAGCCAGAGCATGAGAGAAATTGCAGAGGCTGGGGAAATACACCATGCACTGGAGAGGAGATCTGCTGGATCTGCCCCGGTGCCCAGGGGAAACAGCACCTGGCAAGAGACTTACTGACTCCAGCAGTTCTAAGGGCTCTCACAGCGGACTGTATTTAGGAATGCCATCCCAACGCAGTCCAGGGCACCGAGTGAGCTCGCCCCGACACCGCATCTCACCACACCACACCTTTAACCAGGAAAAGCCCGTCGTCCGTGGGCCTCGGAGCCTCCAGTGAAGAGGAGGACGCTACAGGCCCAGAGCCCGCTGACTCCATGCTGAAGTCCCCACTACTGCGTCCTGTACCAACTGGGTCCGGGCGGAAGCCAGAGCGAGGAGGAGGAGAAAGGTTCCGCGGCTGCCTCCCCTTGTGCAACCTGAAGACTGGTTCGCAATCCAGCCACTGTCCGCAAATCCTCTTGCCGCCGCCGCCGCGGGCCAGGAGGATGAGGCTCCTGCCAGCAGTGTCCCTAGCTCAGTGCCAGAGGCAGTGTCTTCTGGGCGGTCTCCCAGGGAGGATTTACTGGCCTTCTCCTAGATGATGATTGCAGGATCTTAATAACTTTGTCTACTTGAAAGAATACCCAGTCCTGACTGTAGGAGGCAGTGAGAGGTCGCAGAATGAGCCAGGAACCCAGTCCGAGCCTGGATTGAGGCCCTAGACCTCATGTTCCTCACCAGCATTACACTGCGTCCGAAGATTTGCCCTGCGCGAATATCCCACGGTTCTAAAAAGCAGGCCTCAATCTTTGTACCTTCCCGCGGAATTTGGAAACAATCTTCCCTTGGGGTGAGAGGCTTTGTTCTGGAAGAGCGCCCCCTACCAGCACTGCGGGGACGCCCGGCTTCCCCTCGCTTTGATTGGAGGGGAGTGGAAGCCTAGCAAGAGGAATGAGCACACGGGCAGAAGCCCTCTCAGAGACTGGCGTCGGGGGCTCCACGGTCGCCCTCCAGCAGCTGGGGAGCCTTGGCAACTGGCAGGCTGGGCTGGCCCTCAGTCTGGGAAGCTGGTGAAGACTTCAGTCAGTGACCATTGAGAGGAGGAGGCTAGGTAGAGTCTTTCCAATCTCTCAGAGACACAGGACATCATCATTTAAAATAAAGCGATAGGTCTGTCTGTCTTTTTTATTTCCTGATCACTCTAAGGCATGGCTTCCTGAGGATAGGATGGGGATCTGTATTTTTATATTTCCTAGCTCTCAGCGTATTAGCTGGTCCTGCACAATAAACGCTTGTCGGATGAAGAAGAAAATGAATGCAATAGTTTTTGCATTGTTAAATTAATGTAGTAGCCCAAACCTAGGTTCAGGTCCTAAACTACTTTTTAGCTTTATGAACTTAGGGTTATTTAGCCTCTACCTCAATTTTCCTCATTTGTTAAACAAGGAAACAGGCAGAATAAGGTAACCTCACCTCCCAAGGTTACTGTGAAAATTAAATGGAGTAATGCATATAAAGAAGTTAACATAGTGCTTGGCAAAAATAGTTAATAAATGTTTGCTTCAATTATTGTCACTTCTGATTCCAGTAATTGTTTTTGCTTCATTGTCTTTGGAGATTTAAAAAATTATTATAGATACCAAGATTCTATCACTAGAAATTAAGTTTCTGAAGGTCTAGGGAAGGGAAGAGTTTAAAAACTCCATGAGGGTTCTAATGATAACCAGCAAGAACTACTTCTCAGTTTCTGTGTGGATGAGACCACACAGAATGCATTTGACCTTTGAGTTCTTTGGAAACACAATGTCAAAAATCTGAAAGGGCCCTTAAAGCTGGCAAATTTTCTGCTAATTTGATGAAGGCCATAGGGACTTACACATAACTCTTAACATTTATTGGGTGTTTTCTGTATGTGCTTGCTCTTGTTTGGGTGTTGAATGTACTCCAAAAGCCTATGGGCTAAGGCTTGGTCCCCAGAGTAGTATGATTAGGAAATGGTGAAATGTTTGGGAGGTAATGATAATGGGAGTCTTTAGGTGCTTGACTGTGTGCCTCCAAAGGGCTTATGGGATCCAGGTCCCTTTCTGTCCCTGTCTCCTTGGTGACATAATTGGTTTTGCCGTACCACATACTCCTTCTATTAGGTGCTGCCTTACCACAGGCTTCAAAGAATGGGGCCAGCTGATCAAGGACTGGACCCTCCAAAACTGAGCCAAAATAAACCCCTCTTTTTATAAGTGGCTGGGCATGGTGGCACATACCAATTATTCCAGCATTCTGGGAGGCTGAGGGAGGAGAACTGCAAGTTCAAGCCCAGCCTGGGAAATTTGACTAGGTCTCAAAATAAAAAGTAAAAAACTTATGTCTCAAAATAAAAAGTAAAAAAAGAACTGGGGATACAGTTCAGTGCAAAGGCCCTGGATTCAATCCCTAGTCCCCCCCCCTTCTCACACACAGACACACACACACACACACACAGACACACACACACACACACACACACTTATCTCAGATATTTTGTTATAGTCATAGAAAGCTAACAATTATAATAAATGTTTCCAATACATTGTATCATTTAATCTTTTCCATAAACTCAGAAAAGCTAACTTGTTAAAAGATATAATAAAAAATAGTGAGATGGATCTTTTACAAAAAAGAAGCAGACCAAGAGACAGAGGGGGGAGGGGATACAAAAATAATTAAGATATGTTATGTACATTTACCAACTTCCCATGATTAATGTAATCATTATGTACTACAAACGTGTATTCACTTACAAAATCAGAACAATTGCAGCATCCTGTACTCCAGTGCCTATCTCCATTTTGAGAACAACTATAAACCCGATGGGACTCTGTCTGCTTTTATACTGGAAGATGTGGCCCCCATTCTTTTCCTTCACACCCTGAAAAGTGAAGGACCATTGTTCTCAGTTCTACTTGAAAGCTGCTCATTTCCCCACTGTATAGAGAACTGAAAAAAATAAAGCATACCAGGAGATAGATGCTCTTGAGCCTTAGCTGAACAGTACGCATTTTGAGGATCCTTGTAGGATACATTCCACAGAGAGGAGGGACTGAGAGCTCCTTGGAGAGGGCAGTTCTGTTCCTTACCAGCCCTAGTGGCCTTCCTTGTGGCTTATTCTGCACCAGATCCTGGGAGACGGCGTTTCCAGAGGCTCAGATGCCTTTGAAACCACAAAAGACAGGAATTCCTGGCCCTGAGATTATGACCACGTTCCCAATTAGATGCTGAAAGAAAACATTTTTAAAATGACAATGATACCCAAGGTCTCACATTTCCACAGTGCACACAGTGAAGTGCTGGAGAGCAATCTGATTAACTGGACTGCTTTAACAATTTCAAAGGCCCACTTAGACTTGTTTCTATGGGAATTCATAATGCAAACTACAAACAGGTGACTTGCAAGCATTCAGAGCACAGTCTCATTGCCAGACAAGGGTTTTAGTTCTGAAACAGCAAGACAGCATTTCCAAGTGTGGAAACCAGAGATTAGAAAGTTGTGGGGGTCTGGTGCTTCATGCAATGCCAGCAGGACTGTCATTTCAATGCAAGCATGATTCCCTTTTAGGAAAATGTAATAGAAATGTCTTGCTGCTGAAAGGAGGCTTCTGGGAAAGCACTTTATCCGAGACAGACACTGTTGCTATTTTGGTGTTTGTTTGAGTCAGCTAAATGTCCATACCAGCAATGCATTTGAGCACATTCTTATTTCAAACTTTTTGGCCCCTGTGGATTCTATTTCAAATTTTGACAGCTAGAAATCTACTAACCTTATGGTTCTCAGAATTTTGATAGCTCTAGCTTTAGCTAGTTTCAAACACGGATGGACTTCCCACCCCCATCACTTTTTAAAATAGGTCTTTGGAACTTCAGTTACTCTATGTTTAAAATGTGAGGCTGAATTATTTTTAAAATCTGTTTAGGGTCATATGTTGGTCAAATCATTCTCACTGATTTTTGATATAGGATGGTTGTCAAAACTATAGTGCAGAAGTCTTTAAAAGTTATTGCCTAATTAATGTAAGCATAGCAAAGAAGATCTGCTGGATTTCATGCTGAATCACTAACAGAGGTTATCTTGAGGGGTTGGAATGAATTTTCTACTGTATTTCTTCTACTATCTGTCTTAACAAGTAAAATGTTAACCAAAGCAACACTTTAATATATTTCTGTAATGTTGGAACACATTTTAACCAAGGAATTGTTTTGCCGTTTTGAGAAGGAATAAAGAAAGAAGAAAAACCATAAAATACTTTAAAAGTGTACTGCATTATTTTTAAAATGGGCTTTCTGTTTAAAGAGAAATGTTATGTAGGTTTCCAGGGTAACTCATCAAACTCTCCAGCATGATACCCAGCAACAACATTCTTGGAAAGCAAGAAAATCATCAAGAAGCATTACATCATAGGAGAAAGCCTGGGCCGGCCAGAGAGCCCACGTGGTATTCTCCTTCTCCAGTCTGCTGCTGTCAGGCCTCTTGGCTTCTTCCTTGTGTCTGTACTGGATCCCCAGAGCTACAGCTACTTTGAAGTGCACCACTACAATCAATAGAGTACAATACAAATAGTAAGTACGGCAATAATTCCTCGTGAGTGAGCCGAAACCAGACTTCCAACGATGAATGCTCATTACTCACTTCTGGTCTCCCATCACTTATCTTTTAGAATCCTATTATGTGACTGTTCCAGGTTGAATGATATGTCTGTCTTTATCACAGTAAATGTGAAGTTGCAATTATAGATTCTTCCTTTCAATTTTTCTTTGTGTATCTTTCCTAGCTCTTTTTATACTGTCAACTGAATTGTTATTGTTAATAATCATCCAAAACTCTTTTCGAAAGCTGTTACAGTTCAAAAGCCCATAGAAATTTTTCTTACAAAATTTCCTTCAGCTGTGTTCCTCTTGCTTGTGAGAATCAAATATGATGACATATGTTCAAGTGTGCATTCCAGTAATAGAAAACCCTTTAACATTCTCCAGAGTAAAATGTATTTCCATCTATCTATAGTATCAAACACAGCAACTATGTTACACTCACACTTACTATTAAAATCTATTGTATCAACCACTTCTGTCATTAAATGTTTATTATTATCATTTCTTAATCTGATGTAAAGATTGTAAGCTATATAATGATTTAAAAACAACTTCTACCACATATATGATGAATAAGTGACCACATGGAACAGTAAAATCATTCTTGACCAAATATTATGTTTAGATCAACTTGCCATTCAAACAGCATGTATTTACTGAACACTTATCATAATCTTAGGTGCTGGGTGTATTCTAGTCAAGTAAAGAGGAACAGTCCTTTGCCCATTAGACCTCATAGTTCTATGACCCTTGATTATCTAAGTAAATTTCATCAAAATATATTTTTATTTCAAACTTTGTGGTTGATAATACATTCAACTTGTATTGTCTCCTACTTTCCACCTTCACAAGTAAAGCATGATTCCTTTTTGCTCACAAAGTCTGCAACATTTAAAGTCTCTCTCCTGCACATCAATTGTGATTATACCTGGAGATACAGAGGGCTTAGGAGATTGGGCTGCATATGTGTCAAACTTGGACTGTCTGATCTTGGACTGCATAGGAGGGCTGTGGAGCAAGCGCTAGTTCCCAGAAATAGGCTTGGCATTTGAGGGCCAGGTCAACACAGGTCAACACAGGCCTGGGGGACAAAGCTCATTATAGGGGGTCATGAACAGGAGGGCTTTCATTCCATGTGGTCTAGTGTTGTGATTAAGTAGAATTGCTAAGCAGAGAAAATGATGTCATGGAATCTATGGCAGGAGAGAGAGTTCA